GATTCACATTTTCTTTGCTTTACATTTTTGCTTTTCACACAGCCTAGTGAAAATCCATGAGAGAAGGCGAGGGCTCAGTCCCCCTTTTTTTCTTTTTTTTTCTTTCTCTCTCGATTCCAAATTTGTCGTGTTCCAAAAATATCCTCAGATATGGCATTTCTTTTTCTCCGAGAAAAGAGCAGTTTTGGCAAGCAGAGGGAAAATATTTCAGAGAAGAGATGGGAGAGATTTTTTGAGAAGAGAGGATTGGGGGAAAAATTTGATGGAGAAAAGGAAGGATTGGAGAAGTTGGAAAAAGAGAACAAAGTTGGAAAGAAACAGAAAGAAAAAAGGAAAAAGTTGGAAAGACTTATAGTCAGAGAAGTGAAGATAAAGAAAATTTGAAGAAAAAGTGGAGTGTTAGAGAAAATGGAGTGAAAAGAATAGAAAGATCTTCCCAAATCGCGGAGATTGGAAGGAAGAGTGGAAAGAAAGAAAGATTGAGAAGAGTTGAAGGAAATGAAGAGAGAAAAAGAAGAAAGTAGAGGAAATTTGATAAGAGACAAGTTTCAGGAAGAGATAAAAGCGGTTAGGAAGTTGGAAAAGATTGAAAAATGAAAGAAGAGGGAAAAGGAGGGAGAAGTTCAGTAGAGAAGCGATAGATAGGAGAAATAGAGTGTTACATCACACAGGGATGCAAAGGGGAAAGTTTTCGGAGAAGTTTGCAAATATTGAAAGAAATATGGAGAACATAGAGTGCTTGGAAACTCCGCAACGCAGCGCGGAGGTCTGCGTGGCGGAAAGGGAAGAGGGGAAGGCTGGGTGAGGAAGGGGGAAGAGGGGTGGCCCCGGGATCTCCCGAAAACGCCTTTTCTCATAGAGGCCCGGGTCTTTTCCCGCACCTCTCTTCTTTAATTCTCTTCCAATCGACACACACACACACACACACTTTCTTCTTTTTCTTTCCCCTTTTTAGTCCTTTCTCTTTCAATTCTTTCCACATTTGACTGATTTATCCAATTTTCACCTATTACACAAACCTCACGCTTTTTTTTTGTTGTTGAAAGATATGGTCCTTTTTGCCCGGTGAATGGTCAAAAAGCGGATCGTTACTGGGTAGTTGGTTTTCTTTTTAATTAAAAAAATTTGATCACCTGACTATTTCTTTAAAGGTTTTCCTTTATTTGTGCTTTTTTAGACAACTTTTCATCAGCTTTTCATCAGCTTTTCAGCAACTTTTCAGACTTTATCGATTTCTTTTAGCTTAAGCAAAGAAAGAAGCCTTTGCTAGAGTAAGTTTTAGGTAAGCTAAGGTCGAAATTTGTAATTTTAACTAAAATATAAACGTTGAGATGTTTACCGAATAAAATAACCAATCAATTTCACAAGGATTTTAGTTTTTGTAGCTTTTTATGTCAAATAAAATCAAAAGGTAACATTATTGTTATGGAATTTGTTATGGAACATTATTGTTATGAAACATTAACATATGGAATGCAAAAAGTTAAGCAACGCTTGAAACCTAAAGCTCATAGACAAAAATAGAATCTTGAACTATTTTAGAATGAACTTGTAGAATGTAAAAAAAAATAAGCTGTAGAAAAAAGTAAGAATCATTAAGATTAAGAATCATCAAAATAAGGTTTAGAATCTAGAAAAATAAACTGTAGAAAGCCCATTCTCATTCTTGAAGCTCTCAGACAATTCTCAGACAATTCTGGCCATATTTCATTGAAAGAATATCAAGTTTTTGAAGTCATTGACAAAATCATTCTTAGCTAAAACCATGTTAAACTTTAATAGAAGATTTCGCTACATAAAGCAATACAAAATTTCAAAACAACAATACATTGAATTAGAAAAAAGCAAGGAAAAAGCTTGACTTAACTATCTAATACTTTAAATTCTAATCTCTAAATCCAATATCCATTTTTGTATTCAAATAAATCACAAATCAAACAAAACAAATTGTATTCCATATTGAATCGTTTCCAACCGGAACCCCCGTCTTTTTTCTTTTTTTTTTCCTTACAATTGAAAAAATTAATTTTAGCCAACCCCATTTGGCGGCTTTTTGTGAATAAATGGTGCCTTATTATCAAAATAAAAACATTCTTTTGATCATTCTGTAGGAATTGTTTTTTGTTATTAAAAAGTTATCTAAATTCAATTTATCAACGTAGAAAATGAGTTGGAATCGATAGATTTTAAGAATTCAGATGAATTTCATTCAAACAATTTTGAAAGCTTTCAAAATCTGAATTAAAAGCTTTCAAAATCGGAATTGAAACCCAAAAGCAAGTCTGCTTTTGCTTTTGCAGAAAAAAAAAAAATTCAATTTTAGTGTGTTTTGCGTGCGTAATCCGGGTGAACTTTTCAATTTGTAGTGAAAAAGAGCTATTTTTAGGCGTCCACGAATTTTTTTTTTTGCCGTCCAATCGATTTTCCCGCAGCTAGAGCCGAGTTGTGGGTGAAATTGCGCGGAAATTTTCCTTTTTTTTTCTCGCTCATGACCTCTTTGAACGATAAAGATATTACTTATTAAAGCTTTTAATTTAGTAATTTTAATTTATTTGCTTATCTTTAAATAACTTTAACTAGACGGGCTCTCATTTTTGAAAGATATCAATGCGAGTTAAAGTTCTTGGGCCTAAAAGTTGACTTTCAAGAATCGCAGTTATTTATCTATTCGATTATATTAATCGATTATTATATAGTTATTCTATGTGTTTTAGTCTTTTCTACAACTATTTTCTATATGAAAAACAAGGTTTTCAATCGAGAAATGAAGAAAAACGCAATTTTTGCTTACCGCTTCACCCTAAAACGTGAATTTTTGGGTAAAATGTATATAAGGTTCCGTCTAATTGCATTTTCGCCCTTGTGTTCTTTCTTTTGCATATATCTTCTCACATTTAACAGCAATCCTAAATATTTTTTGTTTTTTAATAGAAAACATTACATTCTAAAAGAATAATTTAAAAAAGGTGAAAATTAAACTTAAAAAGACGTGCCCAGTTTAACACTGACTTTCTTTGGGCCGGAGTATCCCTTTAATCACTAGAATTCGAGTTAATGACAGAAATTTAACAAAGGAGAAAGCGCAACAACAGCATTCAAAGTTGTTTTCGCAATAAGCTTTGTTCTTGAGGATTTGAAGCTAGTTCTGTTTTCACCAACCATCCAACTTTTTCTTTTATACTAACAAGAGAATTTTAACTGGATTTGGTGGTCAAATGGCACGAGCCATATACTATTTGACGCAGAATTTTACGCTGATTCCGAATCTGCTTTCCGTTTTTACTAAAGACACTTTGTCAAAAGTTATAAGCGTGTAATGTATTGGGAAATCACACTTTGCGTTTATAAGTAGATTTCTCAACTCCACGACGAAGCAGCGGTGGCCGAATAGCAATGCGTTAGAATATAAGACCGAGTCTTCCTATTTCGAGTCCGCCTACCGCGTTTTTGTTTTCTTTTTTTGGATTTTCAAAGTTAATTGTTCTCCGTTTGAAATACAAGTTTATTTTAAAGTATTTCTCATAAAAATGTTTACTTATAACTAACATCAAGCAGCTGATTGTGGTCCTTATCAATTATTGGGTTGGGGAGAATGAGTCGGCGCCAAACTTTAAAGAAACTTTTTGCACACATAAAGCCTTCTTTAAACATACGTTTGGTTTCATCAAAAGGATCCACTATTTCTCTACAAAATCACTTTTGAGAGATTCCACAAAGCTTTTCTTTCGTGGAGTTTATGAACTTCGAAACGCAGCTGGTTAAAATGGCAAAGAGTCCGACTCATCATTTGAACAGTTTCTTTCACATAAACCTTCTTTGGTGTTTATATAAAAAAGATAGAGCACATTCAATTACTTAAGTTGCCAAATTTGCAGGAAGATCCCACCAATGGTTTTTTCTAGATCACAGTTTGTAGTTTTTGTGAAAAAATGGCTTTTTCTTGAGCGGAGGCGCTGTTTGAATTTTCTTTTAAATGTGATTTTGTAGAGAATTAGTTAACCATTCTACTGATATCAAACGCATATTATTTGACGAAGTCGAATAGAAGTTTTAGACATTTTTTTCATTTTCGACGCCGACTCATTCTCCCCAACCCAATAGATAAATCTGCTAAACTCAAACAGCTAATCTCTTTATGTTCTGTTCATATCTTTCTTTTGTTTAGTAAGATTTTTGATCAACTAATCGTTTTCTAATCGATTTCCAGCTTTTAATCATTGTCAACATCATAATATTCTCCAGTCAGCTGTAGTGGATGACGATTTTTTGTGAAAAGAAATCAAAAAACCCCTAAAAATACTCGTGTGATCAATTTTTTCTATCACTTCCGCGATTTTCTTGTAGAAATTTTTCTTACGTCAATTTTTGGCACCTAACGATTATTCGAAAGAAAAAGAGACGCCGTTTTTGATCTATTTTTGGCTAAATTGTTGGGGAAATTAGCGGAGAAGTTTCCCAATTTCAAACAAAATTGATTCTATTAGCACCAAAAATAGCAAAACACACACAAAAATCATTCATACATCTAATTTTAGACGCTTAAAGTAGAAAAACGATACATTTAAGCTACTAGATAGACTCATTCATTTCCCTTTTCAAAGTCAAGTCTTCTAAATTTTCAGTAAAACAGTTTTTGAGAATCATTTTAAAGAAGTTTTGATTGATTCGATTAGCATTAAAGATAGAAAACACACAAAAAAACATTCACAGATCATAAAAATTTAGATTTAAATCACAAAAAAAGCAAAATTGTATATTAAAAGCTATGAAAACATAGCTTTAAATACGATTTTTTTTCTACTTTAGGCTTTGTTTCTTTGTTGAACTTTGTAGAAATTTATAGACTAGCATTTTGTTTTTTGAAGATACTTAATTACTTCCTTTTCTATGTAATGTTCACAATTTTACACCAATCTATTCAATTTCCAATTTCAGGTACCATTTTAATACACCAATTATTATCTAGTCTAAATCATCTGTGATTTTCTTTAATCTTCGAGATGTCCGAGGCGGGACCGCCCGGTTCGTCAGGCGAATCCGGTAAGGGTAAGTTTATTTGAACAATGATTGTTATGGATGGTTGATTGAATCGATCAACGTTGAATTTTGAAATCGATTGATCAATCGATCAATTGAATGTTGATTGAATCGATCAACAACTGTCCACATAGAGTAGACATAGAAAACTTCCAAGTCGAATCTAACCAAACCGAACAAGCTGAAAATGCCGATTTCTATCGTAGACAAAATTTAGACAAATTTTAGAGCAATTGGCCAAGAAAACAAAAGTGGAATTAAGTTTGGATTGGAATTTTCCCATGCCTAACATAGATGTGTCATAAGCTATGCTTGAGGTTTTATATAGTAAAGATTATAACGTTGAAGTCATTTTCTTTCCATACAATTGCTAAAAGCTAGGCTTGTTCCAAGGGAAAAGCAAGGTTCTGATCCAAATTCTAATCCAGAAGTCAAGATAACGATGCTAAGGTAGTTGAAACAATCTGTAAACTCGTCTTTATATGTTGAGATTTTGCACTAGGGGTTTTTGATGATGCTGAATCGATTGGTGGTATTTTCAAACTATTATTTTGATGTTATTACACATGGCTTTAATTTTTTTGATTTTTTGATGCTTTTTCCTCAGTTTTGTAGCTTTGTAACTAAGTTTTTCTTGAGTGTATGGCGCAAGTAGCTTTAGCAACAACGTTATGATGTTATTCCACATTGATATTTTTCTATTTTTTGATGCTCAATTCAGGCAACCTTTCCAAAGCAGTCTAATATCAGATCTTTCCAAAGCAATCTCATATCGGCCATCCAGCTCATCGAAATCCTTGTCCCTCTTGATCACGAATTTCGGCCATTCTCATTTGGTTCCTGTTTGGTTCCTATTCTCTTAAGAGGTTAAACGCCTTCAATTCAAGCCTAGCCGCCGTTTGCTAAAGCTATTTGCGGCATACACTCAAGAAAAACTTAGCTACAAAGTTACCAAATTGAGAAAAAAGCATCAAAAAATCAAAAAAAAAACAAAGCCATGTGTAGTAACATCAAAGTAACAAGAGATCATAGTTTAAAAATACCATCAATCGATTCAGCATCATCAAAAACCCCTAGTGTAAAATTTTAACTTATAAAGACGAGTTTACAGATTGTTTCAACTACCTTTGCACCAGGAAAACACTGAGTTTGAGCATCTATCTAGAGCAGTACCTGCCTTGTCTTGCAGGTACTGCTCTAGATTCTGGTCTTGTTTTTCTAGGACTCTAGTACCGCCTATCATTCATCATCATTCCAATCCTTTTCCCTATAAACAAGCTTCATTTCAAAGAAGTTCCAATTCTAGAAATGCAGTACAAAACTCAAGTACAAAACAGGAATCAAACTAGCCAATAAACCTGTGTAAAGTAATCAAATTTTATTTTCCAAAGAAACGCTTTTTTTTTCTCTTCCAAGTACGTCGACTTTATCTAATAGCACATTTTTTTTTTTGATTCAACAAGAGAAGAATAGGGCGGGGCTTTTGAGGCGAGCATAAAAAAAAACAGTTTAGCTGAGTCAATAAATTCAATCGCCATCGCCATTTCTGCTTTCATTTCTGAAAAATTGATGTTTACAGGCGAGGGCTCTGCATCGGGTGACACCCAAGCATTAGGTGGCGTCGATTTGGCCACCGCCGCCGAGCGTTTGAGTTTAATACAACAGGTTGGTTTGATTGAAAACACATTAATTGTTACTGAGTTTGAAAGCTGAATATCTGAAGACATGCTATAAAAGCAATTACAGATGATTAGATGACTTTTTATAGAAAAAAATCATCACACTTCTTCTCATTTCTTTTTTTTGAACAATCTCAAACACTTATTTTCCATTATTATAAAATCAGAAAATAGAATTGGTTAAGTAATCTTAAATAGAGTTTTCTTTTAACAAATCTAATCAAATCAAATAAAATAAAATCATTCAAATCACGTTTTTTAAAAGACACTATTTTCTATAGCTGCTTTCTTCTCTTTTACGTACATTTTAGGCTTTTACGTAGTTTTCGAGTATTTTGGAAAGATTCAGGTATTTTGAACGGGTCGACACATTTTGAAGGCCTATAACTTTATCCAGAAATAATATTTTAGCTAACTTTTTATATTATTTTACAGAGGACATTTCAGGTTTTCAAATGATACAAAATAAAGCTTGACTGAACTTTTCATTCCCATGCAAATCAGGCGATACGACACCCGAGTCGGATAGACCTCATTTGCTCAGTGTTGGCTCTGATTTTCTTGGACTGGATTATCCTATCAACCTCTATTTTGTATCATTTGAAAGTGTGAAATGTCCTCTGTACAATGATATAAAAAGTTTTAAAAATATTATCTCTGGACAAAGTTATAGGTCTTCAAAGTGTGACGACCCGTTCAAAATACGCGAAAACTACGCAAGAGCCACATTTTCTAGTTTTTCTTATTTTTTTTCTATTTCTATCGAAATTTTGTTTTATATATTTATAAACTAAAAGAGAACGGCGGCTTTTTTGCGCAGTAATTTTAGAAAAACATGATGAACTACACGATCTTAACAGAAATTTCACTTGAGCTTTGCTTGAAGGTTGAACGAGCTAGCTTTATACCCATAGCTTTCTATATTTGCTTTAAAGTGTCTAAAATCTGTGCATCAATGTAAACTATGATATAATCAAGCATTTTGAAAACATTTCAAAAGGCGATTCAATCAGCAACTCCATTTAATAACCATTTTAAATTTTTATTACTTATTCCAAATTTCTGCTTCAAATTTCAGAAATTCCTTTACTTTCCTTTACTTTTTCTTTTATTCTATTCCTTTATTTTAACCAAAGCTCACTCGGAAATTTCAAATTTTAATCTATGACGTTTCCGTCAAATTTCTCCTATTTCTATTTTCGTAAGCATCAGCTTCACCATTCAAAAGCACCTGCTCAAATGCAAACAAATAAAACATAAGCCTTTTTTTTCGTTATTTCCGTTCAATTTTTCATTCAATCAATCCGAATTTTTTGAGAAAAAACTATAGAAAACTATTTCCAAATTTAGAAAAAAGATAAACAATATTCTGATTGAAAATGTTATTGCCGATTTTTACTGAAAAAATTGATGACATTTGACTATAATCAAGGGGCTAATCTGGACCAGAAATAGGCATTCATAAAGAAAAAAATTTCCAATTATTGGGTTAAAAAGCTGAGTAATCTTTCAACTTAAAATTACCATCTGTTTGGATTCAATTTTGGAGCTGAATTTGAACTCTTTAAGATGTTTTCGGGGTAGGCTAGTTTCCCCAACCTTTTGCGCAACTGGGTCGTTTGCGCAACTCGCCATAACTTTTTTCTAAGTGAGTCAATCTTTATGATTTTGGTTTCATTTTGTAGATCTCAATAAGTGCAACAAAATAAAACCAAAATCATAAAGATTGACCCACTTAGAAGAAAGTTATGGCGAGTTGCGCAAACGACCCAGTTGCGCAAATGACCCTGTTGCACAAATAACCCTGTTGCGTTGCACAAAAAAAGTTGCGAAAACTAGCCTACCCCATGTTTTCGACTCATTGCTTTAGGTGCAGAGCTTTGTTTTGATGACTGACATCTTTCTAGTTGTTCTAGTTTCATTTTCTCTCTTTGTTAGATGACCGTTTTAATTATTTAATAATAATTTAATGAAAAAAAACTGTGATTGTTTTAGAATTTCTTTGGAAACAGTTTAAACTTTACTTATCGTCTATTTTTCGGTTTTGAATTGTTTTGAACTAGACATGGCCGCTACAAACTACAGGGCAGACTACAAATCCTTGTAGAAGCGCGTAGAATAGAGATTTTTTTAAACTTTTTTAACCAAAACATTGAGCCAACTTTAGGCTTTCGAATGACACCAAAATCAAGCCAAATTCTGTTCTATGTCCGGAGATTTAATGTTTTTTCCAGGTTTGTAATCTCGTCCAATGAGACAAGACTACAAACGGCTATAAATAGCTCGTTCTTGGAGTAGAGATGATGGATTTTCTTGATTTTGGTGTCATTCGAAAGCCTAAAGTTTGATCAATGTTTTGGTAAAAAAGTTTTGAAAAATCTCGATTCTACGCGCTTCTACAAGGGTTTGTAGTTTGAGCTTGTAGCTTGTAACTAAAGTAGCGCTTATGTCTACTTTGAATCAATTTCTATTCCACAATTTATGATCATTGCAGTTTTAAAGCTTTTTATCTGGCTTTTTATCTATCTAACTATCTTTTAGATGTCTTGAATGGTCAATAATTGGTTTCAAAACTTTACTATCTTGTCTAGAACACTTTTTTCCTTTAATCTTTGAACTTTCAGCATTTTTTCAATCGTTTCCATTGGCTTTTTATCTGTTTGAAAGGCTTATCACGTCCGTAATGTATTTAAGGTTTAAACTTATCATTTATAGTGTTTCTTGGCTTGAATATTGCACAAACTATTGCGTTATATTTATGTTAAAAAATACATTTATTGAAAACCAATAATATGATACAATAAAAGGATACATAATAAGACATAAAGGTCTCAACAAACAATTTTATAGCACTGCGGCCGTTACCCCTATTACCCTAAATGTTGTGAAAGAAAAACCCACTTGATTGGTGGGAAAAAGGAATATTAACTTGAGATTTTTATCTTTCCAGCGTAATTGAACCCTCGACCTTCCGCTTAAGAGACAAGACTCCATCTGGCCATCTGGTTAATATTAACCCATTCGAAACTTCTGCAGCGAATAATCGCTGCAACAAAAACTCAGGAACGGACCGCTGCAGCGCTAATTGAGCTATTTTCATTCAATTAATTGCTTTTTTTGCTGTTTTTCAGCATTACATGTATATTCCAATTGTAGCAGATCTACAAATTACGTGGGCAAAAAAAGATGTTTCATATTTACCCGGAATCAATCCAGTCACTGGTTTTGCATTCAAATGTTCCATGATAGCTTTAATCTTAAAAAGCCGATCTCCTGCAGAATCCAGTTCATTATCACAAAAACGCAGGTTTCGAAGAATAGATTCAAATTTTGCTCTTGACATAATGTGGGACATGTGGGAAAATCCTCCTAATCCAGGCCTGCTACTCCAGTAGTCACGAATCCTCGGTATTTTGACGATTCCCATTTGAAGCTAGGAAAAGCTTGAAAGATTTTGCATCGAAATCCTGCCAGTTTGTTATCCTTTTTCCATGTTTATTAGATTCACCTACTAAAATATTGTCGTCGATAAAATAAGAACAATAATCGATAGGATCTTGAAAAGTACTGAAGTCAAATCTTCATCAAAAATAAATGGTGTAGGAGACTCTCTTACATTTTTCCAACCATAAATAAACTGCTTCGGAGTCAAAAATGTCAAAAAAAGGCTTGGTCCGTAGACGAAAAAAAAGAAAAAACGCTGCGGTTTCGAATGGGTTAAATACTGTAACAAACTGGTAGTTGACTTGCCAGATCATTGAAATACTCAAGCTGTTTATCTGTTTTAAAAAATGAATATCTTTTCTTACAATAGATCCTTTCTGAGCTGTTAAATCTATTTTGATTATTAAAGTTTTTGTTAATGAAAACTAACGCCTCATTCAACTTAAAAATTCATTCATCCAATTTACCTCTATACTTTCTTTTTTTTTGGTTTTTTTCCAGACCTCATATGGATTCATGTAAATTAGAAAGAAAAAAAAAGCGGGCTGCGGCTAAATTGCTCTCCTTTTCCTTTCAGTTTTCTATTTTGGGTGAAGCTATTTTTGTCTCTCAGTCGATCCATCGCCCCGGGGCGCGGGCCTCCTATTAGATATCTCGAAAGAGCCAAGGAAGAAAAAAAACGAGGCACGGGATTACTCTTTTCACTCTATGTTCTCTAAGAATGTCTATTTCCATCCTCATATAGAAATTTCTCTTCTCTTAGCCATCCCTCAGCTGATATTGGCTCAATTTTTCTCTCTGTGTCTCCACATCGTGATCTCTTTTCTCTTAAATAAAGCAAAAAAGATATATGAAAGTAAAAGTGGCAAGCTGAGAAGGAAAATGAGTTCTCGAAGGGGAAGGGGCAAGTACAGATGGGGTAAGAAAGAAATTGTGTACAATATAATGGTATTTGTCTGCTTTTCAAAAAAGCTTGTCCGTGGCGGGACTTGAACCCATCAAGCAAAAAGGCTCGGGTTCCGTAGTCGAGCGCACTATCCCCTAGGCCACCGCTGCTCTTGTTTCGGTCATGTGTGGCTCTTATTGGCTCGGAGTGGCAGCAGTCGGTTATGAACATTCCAAATATCTATTCCTAGTGCGCCACTTCGTGAGCGAAAAAAGAGCATTGGTGGTCTAGAGGATAGTGAGCCGGGCTACGAAACCCGAGCCGCTTTCCCCGATATGTTCGAGTCCGGTCGCCGACAAAATTTTGCCTTTTTGAAAAACAAACAAATACCATTTTTAAGGCTATTACAGTGCACTAGGAAAAATTATTAAACGCTAACAAAAACAAAGTTTTTAGTTAGAAACTGAATAGATATTTGAAATCCCGATAATCGACTGGTGTTTGTACTCCGAGCTTATCCTGAAACATCAGCCCGAATTTGGATCATTCCCTTGTCATTTTTATCAGTTCATTCTCCAATTTGGATCATTCCCTTGTATCCTTACTTGAAAGATTGACACAAATCGCATGTTCTAATTTTACCTTAAAACCAGCCAAAATTTTCTAATCTTTGAAGTCTAACATAATGTTCCAATCTAACAAAAATGATTGAAATTCGATCTGAGAAAAGTGCGTGTGACGGACGGACAGACATTTGCTATTTATATAGTAGATTATAGTAGTAGATCTACTTTTATCTACTTTTATATAGTAGTAGATTATTATAATTCAAATGCTAGCAAAGCCGTTCCACGTAGATAGCTTCCTATTAGTTTCATGATCCCTGAATGAACTGAAATTCACTGCAACGTTGATACTTTGAAAATATTGATAGTTTAATACAAATTTTAGCAGTAGATGGTAGTTTAAATGAACTTTACCGCTTAAAAAGCTTGAAAATCTAATCGCACTCCTAAGCCAAACTTGAATTTCTTTATTTCTTCGAAAAAAAACAGATTTCTTTTTTGAATCAACTTTGCCCTGAATCAAGAAAGGGTAAACAAAATAAAATTAGCATTTAATGACTATCGCTTATCAGAAAAGAATCATTTTCTGAGAGGTGTTGTAAAAGCTTTTTTTCTGCTTTCCAAAAAAACTACCTCCAAAAATAGGAAACCGGATGATCGAATTTGTTTACCATAAAAGGAAAAAAAAAGCATTTATTTTGCACTTTTTCTAGAAATAACAAGATTTTTATTTGAAAAGTTCAAAAATCTTTTTCAAAATCGTATTTTGGCGTTGAGAATTTGAAAAACTTCATTAATAATTCAGCGTTTTTGAACACTATGTACGCAGGAAAGGAAAGGATTTTAGCGTTTTCTTTGGAGAATAGAATTTAGGCTAAAAATATTCGCATTTTGCAGTTTTAAGGTTACACGAGAGGAGAGAACGGTTTATTTTGAAAAAGAATTGGATTTAGTTGGGGGGAAAAATTCTAAGTCTGATTGTTACATGGTTCAGAGCTTTTCAATTAGCCTATCTTATCTCATGTGTAGATATGAGTTATACTAATAGCTTAATCTTGATTTTACTTCTTTGGGGTTTCAGATTAAGATTGGGAAAAACGGAGCCTATCTTGAAGTAGCCATGTTAACTCCGCCCCTTTTTTTGGTCCATTTGCCGTTGGCAAACGAATTTTGCTCGTATCTTATCTCGATTTTTTGAAAAACGTTTGAATTTGCTTTCATTCGATAGAAAATTTGATTTTGAGTCGAATGAAAGCAAATTCAACGTTTTTCAAACAAACTCGGCCAAGATACGAGCAAAATACGTAGATTGCCAACGGCAAAACGGGTCATAAAAGGGACGGGAGTTTAAGCTTTTTTGTGTTTTTTTCAGCACCAACCCTTCTATTTTGACTATCATTCGATGCAAAATCAATTGTGCGTCGAATGATATTAAAATCAACTCAAAATCTAATATCCATGCAAAGTTGTTGGCTAAAAACCTAAACCCCGCTCATAATGGACGGGACTTAGCCTTTTGCCTCATATCTTTGCGTGGATATTAGATTTTGAGTTGATTTTGGTATCATTCGACGCACAATTTCATTTTGCATCAAATGATAGTCAAAATAGAAGGGTTGGTGCTGAAAAAAACAAAAAAAAGCTTAAATTGCCAACGGCAAAAAAGGAGCGACAAATTTTTTTCGTTATAAGTCTAGTTTGGACTACTCCTTTTATAAATACCCAGAATTCACTTTCGAATCTTCAAAGCCGTAACTCTTGTCCCAGTCAAGCTTGCCTTTATCACTCTTAAAGTATCAAAACTGTATCAAAATTACGTTCTTTCAATTTTGAATTTCATAAACTTGTCTAGCATAAAATGCATAGCATTTTTGATTAAGTTGCAAGAATTTTAGTCTATTTTCTTATTTGGTTTCGTTTTCCGTTTCCTTTTGATCCATTTCCTACAAGTATTCGATAATCCAAATGAACCCGGAACCAGTCTCTCTTTTCTTTTTCTTTTTTCCTTCAAGTAGTGTCTATTCCTGTCATTCTCTCATCTATTTACAGCTCTCTTTTTTCCCCATTCACTTTCCCCATTTTCCCCAATTCTAGTGCTTGCAAAAGGGTCCTTTTATGTCTCAAAACAAACGTCTACGCGCTTTTTTTTTGTAGAATGTTGGCAGGGGGAATCAAAACATAATATATAAAACTGTATCTACTAAATATAAAAGAGCAGTGTCTGTCCATCCATCCGTCTATCTCTACGAACTTTTTCTCAACCATCTTTGGGCCAAAAAAACTGAAATTCTTTAAAAAGTCTTAAAAGATAATATAGTTGCACCATTTAAAATCAAAAATCAAAATTTCAAAATTGAGTGGCACTACGGGGGGTCGAACCCGGATTGTGTGGGTTGTAGACAAGTGCGTTCCTGACTGCGCTATGGCGACGAAAGGCTTCACCAGAAAAAAGCCGCTGTTTTGTGGCTGCTAGGCGGGTTTTTCAGCTGGTTATCAAAAAAAATCGCCTAGCGGCGGGTTTTTCGTGTATGTTTTGGGCCCAGACTTTCTGTCGCCATGACGCAGTCAGGAGCCCTCTTGTCTACAGTCCACACAACCCGGATTCGACCTCCCGTAGTGCTGTTAGACGGGTTTTTCGGCTGGTAGCTCTATAATTGTAATGAAAATGTAATTATTCAATGTTTCTACCATTTCAGATGTATCAACAAAAGCAACAAGAGCTCCTCAACTCGTATGAGCAAGCAAAGAGGGCGATCGCCGCTCAACAATTCCAGGCTTACTACCAGGTTAGGAAAATGAATACAATGAAATCTTATTGTTGCTCCTTTTCAAAAGGCGCTAATTGTAAACCAACGAATTACCCAATTTACCTTTAATTCATTGATCTGTGACTACCGTAAATACTACAATAGTACCCCACCCCTATAATGACGGTGCGGAGTGTTGCGCAGTCTAGCTTTGAACGAGTTTTTCTCGACACTGGTTTATGCTACAATGCGCGCTTAGGTATCAAAAAATAGCCCTGAATTTCAGCTATTTTTTGATACCAAAGCACGCATTTCGGAGAAAAGGGGGGGGTTGAAAGTACGGGCGCTTTGAAAAAAATGAAATACTGAAAAACTTTTGCGACTACGCGACTGTACGAGGGGGTGAGGCACCATTACAGTGTTTAGGCTTAGGCTTAGGTTGAATGGCTCAACTGGCGCCTCATCATCGGGAATTCCCACCTGGCCGAACAATCGTTTAAACCTAATAAAATTACCTTTACGGTAGGTAATTTTATTCAGGTTTACTTTAGTTTATTCAGATCCAATCATTCAAATTATGCATAGATCTAGCTGTAAATTTGATCATAAATCATAGAAAATAAATGTGATCAATGCTGTAGCATTTTATTTACACAGTTCATTATTCAGCAACTCCTCGCTGCCGCTTCAGCCGGCCAACAACCTCGACAGGAGCGAATGGATGAGTCTGAGGGGCCAGCAAGTGAGTTTTGAACAAGAATAATCTAAAATAACTGCAATTTGTTTTGACAACACAAACTAAAATTCATTTCTGTTCCAATTGCAAAAAAAAAGTATACCCAAGAGAAATCAAAATGGCATCACTTCAAAAGGAAGGAAATAAAGAGTAATAAGAAGGAAATTTTGAAAAAAAATGTTTTCTAAATCTATAATTTTATAAATTGAAATTCTAAATCTAAATCTAAATATTGATTTCAGTACCAATTCAATTGACTTCATCGATGACTTCATTGTTGGGCAGCCCTGGATCACAATCTGTCCCACAAACGCCGACCACTTCAAAAGATCCTAAAGAGAACCCGTTAGCCGTGCACAATCGAAATGTTAAAAAGTGAGTTAAAAATGCGAATTTGAGTTTAGCTTTTACTAAAAATACCACCAAAGAACCAAAGTTTCGAACAAGAATTTATACTGCATAGGAGACAAACAGGCTTTACATCCAGCATTAGCAAGGATCGTCAACGTATACAATACAATACAAGGTGAAAAGCAATAACCCGTCCTTACATTTGAACTTCAAACTCTCTAGATAATGCACCTAGACAAGAGTGGCTAAAAATTAAATGAAATGAAATGGCTTACAGTTGAATACATTTTTTAAATTTGCTAGCTGATTAAAGATTCTAACAGTGAAAGCTTGAAATTAATCCATATTTTGGGCGTAAAGAATGAGACACTTTTTTTTGAAAAAAAGAACTGAGAACTACTACTTACACGCCTACTTTTATGGCCTGTAAAAAGCAGAATCGATCTAGAGAAACAAATTCTCATGATTAAGTTCTTAAGAGTGTCTACTTATTATGTTCATAGGCTATTTTTGTCTAGGCGCATTATCTAGGGAGTTTGAGATTAAAATGTAAGGATGAGTTATTGCTTGTCATCTTGAAAGTTGAACTAACTATAAGATTTTCATTTTCAACTCAAAAATTCAATCAAATCGTGAGTTCTTGATCAAGTTCTTACCCATTTCAGTGACATTCGACAAACGCTTGGCGGCTCACAAACAATTTCACAACACACAAAAGATCGTTTAAAGAACATGATTGCAAATCGACGAGCTGGGGATAGTAATGTGAGTGGAATTTGTGAAATGGAATACCTCCCGGCGGATCAGTTAATTCATTTCAAATTGCAAAGTATCTTGCTCACTCGGGGACGTCGCCGTTTAAAACGAGACCAACTCCATCTTGTAGAATCAACTGCGTTGATTCCGAATCCGTAACGTATTTTTTCTACCTTAGTGTTCCAATGTAATTTGGGCCAGATTAAAAAAGAAAAGAAATTGCCTGAGGAGGGGATCGAAGCAGGGTTCTTTGGACCCGTAGCCGAGAGCCTTGGCGCTGCACCATGCCGCTAGTTGACTCCGTTGCGAAAAATAAACTCAATTAAGGAGTAATCCAGATATCTCGCGTTACAGGCCTTGAGGGCAAAAAATGAAAACGGATTCGGAATCAGCGTAGTCGATTCTATAAGATGGAGTTGGTCTCGTTTCCTTTTTTGGTTCCTTAGACAGTGCTCCAGAAAAGTTGTGTTTCCTTTTTTAAGCTCAAATTTCAATCAAGTCAACAAGAAATCCGATGTCAAGCTAGAGTTAAATGATGATTTTTGGTTTCGTTTAGCCAAATCTTGTCAATGGGCCTGTGTTGAATGGCTCAACTGGCGCCTCATCATCGGGAATTCCCACCTGGCCGAACAATCCCCTTCCTCAACCACAACCAATGAGTCCCCAAGTTGGCAAGGTTCGTTCAAAGGTTTGCATTTGTGACTAACCAAAAAAAAACTAATCAAAAACAACTTTCAAATCGATTCTAAAGCTTTATTTTAGTCGAACGTCTCCTCTCCTCACTTTGAACCGTATCCTGTTCAAAGCACTCATCACAACAACACCGCTCATCTACCAGAATATCAATTGAGGAAAGTGAACTCGGAGCCAAATCTGAAGATGAGAATTCGATCGAAAATTCTGAGTAAAGGAAACAGTCCAATCCAACATTTGAACAACTCACCGAATCATCCAACCACATTGCAACGGTGATTTTTTTAATGAAAATATTGAAGCTTTAGTCATTAAAACTGCTCAAGATTGAAACTAATGAACAATTTTAGAGCCGATAGTGATGTTGGCTCAACTTTGCCCAAAGTTGAGGAGTCATTGCTGAACGCTGCAGCCGTTAGCCAAGCCTTTGTTCCCCATATGATCCTCCCCAGTCCAAGTCTACCCAACTTGGTAAGTGACATGTAACTAGAGCTGTTTATTTTTGGAAAAATTTGTTTATTCAGTGGGCTTCATAAATCCTTTTCAGAATCTAGCAGCGGGAACCCTTGGTGGGCCGGGCGGGATCGATATGAGCTCTTTATTGGCTCAGGCGGCTCAGCTGAACTCTTTCCTCTCATTGCCATCACTTCTCAAAACACAGCTAGCGATGAGCGGTGGACAAATGGGGATCGTCACTGGACAGGGTGGACAAGCCGATGAACAAGGTGGGGACCGGAGAAGTGTACTGAACTTCTGACTAGAGTGTGTTCCTTCCGAGTAATCGCTTTCTAAAATGCCCTTCAAAGGGAGAAACTAATGTCGTAATGGTTGGTCGAGTGGCGTGCGTGCTTGTCTCTGAGGCGAACAGCCGTTAGGTGGCAGGTTCAACCCCCCGCTCGAGTTAAATCTTTTGCCCTTTTTGATCAAACTTTTCGGTTCTTTCCTAGATTGATACAGAGGCTTTTAGTTAATAGTTATTAAAATTATTAGCTTTCAAAAGTAGATAAAAGTAATAAAACTGCTTGAACAATTGAAAAAAAAGCACTTTTTAAAATACGATGCTTGAGATTTACTTGACGTTTGAAATTTGAGATACTTGTGTTCTACTCAAGTAATTACTCAAGTAAAAATTACTTACTTGAGTAGAACACAGTCTAATTATGACTTTCCTTTAGATAGAGCAAAGCTCGACCCACGAGCAGCCGCATTGGCCTCTCTGACTTCAGCTCAATTGCCCATTGGCGGCTATCCAAGTCTTCTCAAGCAACAACTCAGGGAACTCGTGTTGAGGTAAGACTTTGAAAGCTGATCTTACTTGTTACTAACCTAGATAATCAAAATTACTTTAGACGTAAATCCCTTGTGCGTGAAGAGCCAGAAGAGGCAGCTTTGATGGAAGATCACACACCGGCATTGCTTAAGACGGCCTCGGTGGAAACAGTTGAGGCGAGGGAAGATCGACCGGCTACAGGTGAAAAATTACGTAATCAATACTTCTAACAATCTATTTTCAGGATTAGCCTATGATGGAGCAATGTCTCGACATGAGTGCGTTTGTGGCCAGAGTGCTTCACACGTTGAACACGGAGGTCGAGTGACGATGATCTGGGAACGGTTGCAAAATGTTGGGCTTGTGCAAAGGTAAGTAAAAATAGCTCAAAGTTGTCTGTTTTTCAATTTAATTGATCTAATTTTAGATGTGAACGTGTTCCGGCAAAGAAAGCTTCTCTTGAAGCCTTGCGAGCTGTCCATTCAGCCACCTATGTAACTTTCTTTGCCGTCTCACCAACAGCTTGCCTCAAAATGGAACCCAGCGAGCTGCCATTACGGAGTTTTGTTCAAGTAAGATAAAACTAACAAATTATGCTGATAATTATGTTAAAAAATTATATGTCAAATAATAAAATGATTTTAGTTGCCTTGCGGTGGAATTGGAGTCGACTCGGATACATATTTCAATGATGCGAGCACACAAAATGCTGCTCGAACAGCGGCTGGATCGTTGATCGAATTGGCTACACAGGTTTGGTGTTTAAAGCTTCTTTGACGTGTTTTAATCTCCATTTCAACAAAAAGACATTTGAAATCAGATAAGACTAAAATTTAGGTAGCAGAAGGGAAACTTCGAAATGGTTTTGCTTGCATTCGACCACCGGGACACCACGCTGAAAAAGATCAGGTGATTCTTATGTGATTCTTATTCTTCTTAAAAAGATTAGGTGATTCTGGAAAGCTTAAGAAGTGATTCTTATTTGTAAAGTATTCAAATTTTATTTTTGAACTTGCTTTAGGCTATGGGCTTCTGTTTCTTCAACAATGTAGCCGTGACGGTCCGCCATTTGCAACAGAAATTCCCGCAACGATGCAAGCGGATAGCGATCGTTGATTGGGTCAGTGAAATGACAATGACACTTCTATTGGTTTGGCCGGAAAGTCTTGTTCACCCTTTTGAAATCTTCGTTTATAAATAACTCATAGATTGAGAGAGCCAATCAACGTGTCATTTGCTTTAAATAAAAAAAGATTAACTATTTCATTTAGCTCATTTTTAGCCAAAGTCCGTTTTGAAGCAAATTTAGGAATTCTTGTTTTTCAATAGACATAGAATGAGAACGGCTTGATGAAATGTTATGAAAATTTGCCTATATGCCTAACTTTTTATGCTCTATCTTTTATCTTTTGACACCAAAGTAGGTTTCTGTGACAAAAAGTGCTCAAATTGGAATCAAATCGAAAATCAAAATCGGTTTTATCGTTTTTGACTGCTCGACTTCACAGTTTTAAAAAAATTAACTAACGCGAGCTTTTTAGAATTTCTTAAAGAACAATTTATAAATAAATAATAGGACTTTCTGATAAAATAAACTATAGATTAATTGGTTCATTATTTCTTTTTAAAAGTGAGCTTTAAAAAAGTGGATAAGACTTTCCGGCCAACCCGATAGTCAATACATAGGCTTTAGCTTATATGTCACGTTCGTTATTGAATTTCGTCCGCTTTTTAATCCTAGTATAGTTATATTATTAATTTTCAGTTTCTTTACTTTATCTTTCCTAGTATTAGTGCTATTTTGAAAGCAAATATAGAAAAGGTAGCTTTAAGAACTTTATCTCAAATAGGGTTATCTATAAATTTAGAATTTGGTTTATATTCTATTTCTTTTATTCGAGTTAGTCATGCTTTATTAAAGAGTTGTTTATTTATCCAGATAGAAATTGAAATTATATTTGTTAACTCGTAAAAACCATACAGGGTGGCTGATAATTACGTGCGCCAAAGAAAACGCCATAATTTAATTTTCTTTCAAAGAAAATGTAAAAATCTTTATTTATATAATAGTTGTAACAAAAGCATTTAATAATCACAAGAAATTTTCGAAGTGGCCTCCATCCGCTTTGATACAGGCTTCAATTCGCTTCTTTACAGAATCGACGGTGCGGCGGAGATAATTTGCATCTAAGTCGTTCCAGATTTTGATCAATTCTCGACGTAAATCATTCAAATTGGTGATTTTTCTATTTCTTAATTGTTCTTCCATAAAACCCCAAACCGAAAAGTTCAAGGGATTGAGATCCGAGCTGTTCGCAGGCCATTGATCCTTCGTTAAAAAAGAGCCAATTTTGGTTTCGAGAAAGCGAATTGTTGTTTTGGCTCCGTGGGCCGGCGCCCAATCTTGTTGAAGGGTCAAATTGGGATGGCTCCTCTTCCATGGCACCACAGCTTTCTCGAGAATCTCTTTTTGATAGACTTTTGCGTTAATCTTCACATTTTTATCGATAAAAACCAACGGGGTCTTGCCCGAAGCACTGATGCCACCCCAAACCATCAAACTTTTTGGAAACAGACCTTTTGTAGCGACTTTTCGTTTACGAGTGCTCTTGAGAGCTGGACTGAGAAGTTGACGGTGATTTTGTGAGTTTTTAGCCACTTCCAAGGTGAAAATCTTCTCATCTGACCAAAGAACATCGTCAATGCGCCGCACCTTGAAAAAAGCTCGCAATTTCTTGCATTTCTCCTTCCGGTTTTGCTTGGCTTGATCGGTGAGCACTTGCCCGTTTAACAGTCGATAACTTCGAAGTCCGAGCTCATTTTTCACTATCGATTGAACCGAGAAACGCGAAATTTGAAGCTGTTTTGCCATCTTGTTCAAACTACGATCGTCTTTTCGCTCGATCCTCCTCTTGATGATCCCACGCATCTTTCGGGTGTTAACGGTCCTCTTTGGTCCTCTTCCGGGCTTGGACTGAACATGCCCCTCATCTTTCCATTGCTTTACGATCTTCTGGACGGTCCTCAGAGCCACCCCAAGCCTCGATGCGATCGACGAGTTCTTCATGCCGCTCGTCGCCAGCTGTGCGATTGCGTCCCGACTAGCGCACGTCTTTGTCATGACCTAGAAAACAACTTTTTTAACAAAAAATTATTAGACCACGATAAAAAGAATATTAAAACACAAAAAGATGAGTAGTAATGCTTTATACATTGTTTAAAACTATGATGCTGATGCTGCGCGCACGTAATTGTCAGCCACCCTGTAGATCATTACAAAAAAACATCATCAAAGTGTAGGGGTTGGACGATTGAAAAACGGACGTCCGGTTCTGAGTCGGACGAAATTCAATAGCATATACGTTACGGCCAATCTAGAAATCCGTCCGCTCTAGACTGATTCTAGATCGAACTTCCGCTCTAGAGTGAAGTGTGGTTGAGCGTTTGATCTAGAATCAAACCGATCACTCTAAACCAGAGATCCGATTCAGCTTTAAATTTAGAGTGATCGGCTTTAGATTCTAGATCGGACGTTCGACCGCACTTCACTCTAGATTCTAGATCTGACGTCCGATCTAGAATCAGTCTCAAATCGGACGTAACATATATACAATACAACAACTTTTTAGGATGTTCATCATGGAAACGGAACTCAATTGTGCTTTGAATCGGATCCCAGTGTTCTCTACATTTCTATGCATCGACATGACAATGGGAATTTCTTCCCGGGTACTGGTGCTGTCACGGAAGTAGGGAGTGGAGCAGGAAAGGTGAGGAATTGTTGATTGTGATTGTGATTGTACAGATTAATCTTGTTACTGAGTGATGTTTTCAGGGCTATACAGTGAACATTCCCTTCTCGGGTGCAGTGATGAGAGATGCCGACTATTTGGCGGCTTGGCGAGTGATCGTCGCTCCTGTTTTGAATCACTATGAACCGACTTTCATTCTCGTCTCAGCTGGTTTTGACGCTTGTACAGGACATCCAAATGCACTTGGAGGGTTGGTGAAATTTGCCTTATTAGCAAGCAATAACATTGCTAATGAGATTTAAGAAAGGTTTAAAAATTGAAATCAAATTCTGCTTTCATTGTAAAAAAACTTCTGGAAAAATAGAGATACCGTTTAGATATGAGATCTCAGCAGCGATGTTTGGCTTCATGACGCGGCAATTGTTGCAATACGCAGATGGACGATTGGTGTTGGCTTTAGAGGGAGGATATGAGATGAATGCTACATCAGATGCAGTTGAACATTGTGTAAAGGTAAGAGAATTGCTAGATTAACTATTATTAGTGAATAGACGACCACAGAAAGCTCAAGGATTGTAAAAATTGTAATTGTAAAAATTGTAAAAAGCTAGGAAGTGTCAAAACATTTTTTAGGTACTTCTGAGAAGCGATGAAGATGCAGGTCGTTTGAGCACTGAAGCACTTGAAGGGATTCCTTGTTTGAATGCTCAGGAAACGATTCAAAAGGTATTTCCTAGATAATTAAAGTCAAATACAAGTTTTCTATAAAGTGTAACCTTTTGATTTTAGGTGATCGCCATTCACAAGAAACACTGGCCAACTCTGACCGCGATTCAAGGGATCAACACGAGTGAGCTCCAATGGCAGAATCTCAGTCGAGAACTCCAGAATATGAGTATGCAAAGCTAGTTCTTTTTCATAACATTTTGTTGATCCTTTTGTTCAACTCTTCTCGAGAAGCAATTTTAAAGCCAAATTTAAAAGATACCTTTAAATTTTCAACAGCTAATATTCGCTTATTCAACAGCTAATATTCACTGGGTTTAACTGGATTAGACAAGTCGAAACAAATCCCTTTTAAATGGTTTAGTTGCCTAAATAATCTTTATTCAACACTCAGAGCTGTTTGGTTTAATTACCGTAGGGCAATAGTCAATATTTAGTCAAATCGCTTAATTTACTGTGATCAGGTTGGCCGAAAAGCCTTGTCTGCTTTTCTAAAACTCACTTTTTAAAGGAAATAACGAACCAATCAATCTATAGTTTATTTTATCAGAAAGTCCTATTATTTATTTATAAATTGTTCTTTAAGAAATTCTAAAAAGCTCGCGTTAGTTAATTTTTTTAAAGCTGTGAAGTCGTGCGGTCAAAAACGATAAAACCGATTTTGATTTTCGATTTGATTCCAATTTGAGCACTTTTTGTCACAGAAACCTACTTTGGTGTGAAAAGACAAAAGATAGAGCATAAAAAGTTAGGCCTATAGGCAAATTTTCATAACATTTCATCAAACCGATCAACTTTTTTATTTTAGATGGTTAGCGTAGAGTGAAAACATTATGTAACGATTAAAATTTGAGAGACTTTTGACTTTTACAAGTTTTATTATAAAAACCGCGTCTTTTGATGTTGACAGAACTTTTCAGCCACTCTTTATTTAGTCAAATCAAACCAATTAACCGATTAAACTTGGTACTTTGTCAAGTCTAAGAGATCTTTTGCTTCAAAGAAAAGTTGAATTTCTTCAAACAAACAAATTTCCCAAACATATCTCTTAGAATTCTTCTGATTTCCCCTTTTTTCAAATCATTTCCTCAAAAATCTTTCTTGCCAGAGTTTTTTGCAAAATTTTTTTGAATTTTGATGTTTCTAGTCAAAAATGAGTGATTTTTAGTCACATCTAGTTTTTTAAAATTTTTTCTGAAATTTCTTGTGCTATTCCTTATCCAAGTCCTCATCTTGTGCTATACGATTAAAATTCTAAAACAATTTCCTGAAAATTTCCATATTTTGCTCTGAACATGGTCTCTTTAATAACTCTAGCTAATTTTTCTTTGAAAAAGTCTAGAATTTGTGATTTTACTCAAGATTTTCAATGTGATTTTGGCGATTTATCTTGTGTTTCCGATTCCAAAGAGTTCTTTTTCGTTGTTTTTCATTGTTTTTCATTGCTTTTCATTGTTTTTTTTTTTCAAATTTCTTTACCAAATTCTTAAAAATGGCAAAAACAATAATCTTTTGGTTGTGTGTGTGATAATGGACGAGTTTTTTGATGAAGAAAAATGGCGTAATTTCTTGAAAAGACAAGCACATTTAAAGGTTTTTGCAAAATAGACAAATCTGGTATACTGTACTTTATTTAGAATACGATTTCCGGGATAGGCTACTTGGCGCGAAACTTTTCGCGCAACTAGATCATTTGCGCAACTTGCCATAACTTTCTTCTAAGTGGGTCAATCTTTATGATTTTGGTGTCATTTTGTTACACTTATTGAGATCTACAAAATGAAACAAACACCATAAAGATTGGCTTACTTAGAAGAAAGTTATGGTGAGTTGCGCAAACGACCCAGTTGCCCAAATGACCGATGGCGGAATTTAGCCTACCCCCGCAAATGACCGAAATAAAATCGCGGAAATTAGCCTACCCCGATTTTCACTACAAAATTGTCTGTATTTTCATTAAAGTTTCCTTTATTGAGCTGGGAAAACTTTTCCTCGAATTGGTGGCAGATCGGAGATTGTAGAGCCTAAAAAGTGATCATCGAGTAAAACTTATATTATGACTTTAAATCGCTATAAAACTACAGTAAACTACAATACTTTTACAGTACAGTAAACACAGTAATTCCTAAAAGAAACTACAGTATTTCAGTTGCCTTTTGAAGTACTGTGGCTTCTTAAATAAACGAGTGATTTAAATGGTTGTTAGCCGTCAAGAAACCAAGTTGGCAAGTAACCCAAATATTAAAAAGAAAGCTAATTACTGTAACTTATTCTTATAGCAAGTTTAATTTGCTTTTAACTTGTTTTAAATACTTTACATTAACTTTTCCGAAAGAAAAACTACTAGAAAACAGCTGAATCAAAGGAAAACGCTTACTCGCGCACAAAGTAAGAGATTTAAAAAAAGATTGCGGTAAAACTAGCACCAGTTTACTAGCAAACTAGCACCATTCTGGATCGAACTTCCGCTCTAGAGTGAAGTGTGGTTGAGTGTTTGATCTAGAATAAAGTCGATCACTCTAAACCAGAAATCCGATTCAGCCTTAGATTTAGAGTGATCGGCTTTAGCTTCTAGATTGGACGTTCGACCGCACTTCACTCTAGATTCTAGATCTGACGTCCGATCTAGAATCAGTCTAAATCGGACATAACACATATACAATACAACAACTTTCCGAAAGAAAAACTACTAGAAAACAGCTGAATCAAAGGAAAACGCTTACTCGCGCACAAAGAAAGAGATTCAAAAAAAGATTGCGGGTAAAACTAGCACCAGTTTACTGGCAATCTAGCTTTTACTTTTGAAAAGAAATTAAAGAAATTAACTCTAAGAAAATAACAAAAGGAATCAACTCTAACTACTTTTCAATCTATAGTTAAATGAACCCCCAAAACATGGCCTTAACTACTAAAGGCCAAATTAACGATAAATCTTCTAAAATCTCTCGCTTTCTGTCAGCAAACGTCATTCTCAATTCATTTTTTGTAAAAAGACTCTGAAAAAGCTTCAAAACATTCTTTCTTTTCAATTTTATTGTTTGCCTATCAGTTTTTACGCATAGTCCAACCTTTTCTCGTCCAGCTGCTGTTTTTTTGGCTCATATTTTGACTCCTTTCCCATAAACTACTCGCCTGTTGCTCCATTTTTATGCTAAAAGATTTTTCTTTTATGTTTTCAGAACTAATTCACATAAATACGAGACAGGACGGTACCCGAGCTTCCTCGCAATGAAACGACGATAGTCTTTGATGAAATACATAACACAAAGGGGATCGATTGCTGGATAGAGAGAGACAAAGATTATGCCTAAAAGTGGAATCTTGACATTTATAAGTTTTAACATACAGTAATGTGTCAATGGGCCAAGAAGGTTGATACCAGAAAACGCGAGTAGATGAGTGAAACCGCAAGGGCCGTATTCAAGCATACAGGGGATTGAGGCCTGTAATGGAATGGGGCATTCTTCATGTATTCTTCTGCAGTAGGCCTCCCGAAAGTGCTGTTTTATAGACAAGACAGTGCAAAATGAAGCCTTGGCCTTACAATTAGTCTCATTCTAAGTCGGAGCTGTTGATAGACCAAAACTTCAAAGCCAGGTCAAGCAAAGCCAGGCCAAGCAAAGCCAGGCCGAGCAAAGTCAAGCAAAGCCAAGCCAAGCAAAGCCAGGTCAAGCAAAGCCAGGTCAAGCAAAGCCAGGTCAAGCAAACCCAGGCCAAGCAAAGCCAGGCCAAGCAAAGCTAGGCCAAGCAAAGCCAGGCCAAACCAAGACAGGTCAAGCCAAGCCCGGCCAAGCAAAGCCAAGCCACTTTTAGTTTTGGTTTGGCTTGGCTAGATTTTCAAAAGCTTTAGTTTCAAACATTCAAAAAAGGTTCAGTTTTTTCCTTCCAACCCATTTTCATCATCATTATCTTTTAAACACTTAAATAACTTCAAATTTATCCCACAAAATGTGCGTACCTGACATATCAGCGCCTTGAAGAGTTCTTTTTGTAATTTTTTCGTCTTCGCGCTCAATTCAGCTTTCTCCAAATGATAGTATATACTGAAAGAGTTTTGTTACGCATATTATTTTGATTTTTACCCAACAGTGCAACAGGATATTGTTAAGAATGTGCCAAAGAATAATGTCATACAGCAAACACCGGAGAAGACCTCGGGCCAATAATAGACCTCTTGACCAAGGGAGTTGTTGGTCTGGAAAGATTTTTTCAATACTAAAGAGAAAACGGAAGATGTTGTGTCTTTGGTTTGAATGATTGAATGATTCATTTGCTCACAAGGAAGCTCGATATTAGAGAGTTAGAGATATTAGAGTTCCTCACGAGTAATGCGTTTTTTAAAGCGCACACTTAGGAAAAATTACCGTACTTTTAGCCAAAAATTATTGCAAGAAATTGGCGCAAAAAATCACTAGCGACGACTTATATACGACCCTTTTTAAAGATATTCAATCGTTTAACTGATTTGGTGGCAAATTCCCTGCACATGTCAAGCTATTCAATTTACTCGACGCGTAAAGAGGGTTACCCGACCAAAAACGTCGATTAATCGATTAATTACGGGGTGGGACAAACGCGACCTTTTTTTTGCGCACCTGGACATTTGCGCACCTTTTTTTTTGCTGGAAAAGACCTTATGAAAGGTCGTAGAGCTTCAAAAATGTATTCATGAGAGGGAATCGTATGCGTAGATGCAGAATTTTGACAAATCAGACCTCGCTGACACGTCAAATTTGGGCTAAAAGGCAAAAACTGCGGAAAAGCGTTAAGTTGCGTAGTTTTTGCCTTTTAGCCCAAATTTGACGTGTCAGCGAGATCTGATTTGTCAAAAATCGGAATCTACGCATACGATTTCCTTATACGGAAATATTTTCGAAGCTCTACGGCCTTGCCTAAGGCCTTTTTCAGCAAAAAAAAAGGTGCGCAAATGTCCCAGGTGCGCAAAAAAAGGTCGCATTTGTCCCACCCCCTTAATTACTCATGCAATGTCGATATGTCGATTCATTACTCATGCAAATTTTCCTCGAGTAATTACTTACTCGAGAGGAACACAATCTACTCGATATACAATAAAGCACATCTTGTAGAGCTTCTTGTAGAAGACGAGTCAAATGCTGTAAAAATTAGCTGCTTATAAGCATTGTAAACGCTAAAACTGGCTTACAAGTTTTTGCTATATAGTCTTTAAGCGTTTTTCGAAGGTCTAGTTGAGATGGCTAGTGGTTAGTGCAATGGTTTACCAAGCAAAGATCAAGGGTTCAATGCCTTAGACTGTATAGCAAAACTTGTAAGCCAGTTTTAGTGTGCTTACAATGCACATAAGCAGCTAATTTTTACATCATTCGACTCGTCTTTTCAAGCTCTATAAGATGTGCTATACCGCAAATCGAGATTCCATCATGAGCTGCAACTGGCGCAGGCTCTAGAGCTGGCATTTGGGCTGACTCTTGTCTTGCTTGTTTAACAGCCCTGTTTCAAGTTCTATTCTTAATATTCAAGTTCTATTCAAAGGTCTTTTGCAAAGTTACTTCAGTTCTCTCATCAAATTTCTTCAAATTCTTGGGTATAACTGAGAAATTTCTATGCGAAAACTCTCACGGATTTCATGTGGAAAAATAGAAAAATTGAGCTGCTTTGTACTTGGTACTCGTACTCGTAGTTAATTGGTTTAATTGTGATTTAAAGGATGTTCGAATCGTTTTGAATGATAGACTTGTTTAAGCTTCAAATTGTACATTTGACGTTGTTTAGAGCTTCATCTCAGAGCTTTCCAGCTCACAATTTCTCATTCTTACCACAAAGAGCAGTCCCAACATGGGCAATCCATCCACCGACACTCCGTAATCTTTCATCATTGACTCGCGGAAATAATCCCTGAAGGAAAACTAGATCTTTATCATTTTCGGAAACACCTGTTGATCGCTAAATAAACTTTTCTGTATTTTGTGCATCATTGATCCAAGAGTGTGGGAGTTTTTCAAATTTTGAATGATTTACAGCTTTTTCTCTCAGAAACTCATGATTAGGTGCATTGAAATTAAATTTGTAGTACTTGGAATCGATCATTCAAATGTTTAAAAATATCCATGAAAGTACCAACTTGTGCTTATCAATGTGAAACGTTGAGCAATGAAAGGAGGCTCCCCAAACAAGTCCATTGAAAAGAACGACACTCAAAATTTGAAAGCATTTTCAGTGTTCAGCAATAAAAACTAGTAAGCAAAGTACTACTACCGTATTTACTCTATTAGTGGGGTCCTCTCTAATAGTGGGGTCGTCTGGAGGGGGGTTGAAAAAATAGTGGGGTCCTCTCTAATATTGGTAACGAAAGTGATACATCAATTGTTGATCTCTTGGATTAGTTCTTTTACTGTTTGTTAATGTTTTGTTACGGTTAAAGCTAAATAAAATATGAAGCCAAACTTGTTTTGTCAAGAATTTCGGAGAAAAATTGATATCTTTTCAATTTAAAACTTTGGTTTTATGTTCTTTTAAATTTCTCTAATAGTGGGGTCCTCTCTAATAGTGGGGTCGTCTGGAAGGGGATTGAAAAAATAGTGGGGGACCCCACTAATAGAGTAAATACGGTAGCTTTAGTTATATTTTAGCTTTAGTTTTCAGCAATAGATAAAACCTGGCGGGTAAAAGAGCATGTCGTTGTGAAGAGAAAAAAATGAGGGCTCGTGGTCTATCACAAAAATCTAATGGTTCAACGAAAAGACAAAAAAATACCTAACAACGGCCAAGTAACGATAGATAAAGTGAAGCATTACCACCGCGAGAATGACCTGGAAACAAGATTTTAACACATTCGCGATCATATGGCCCACCGGTGGATGGACTTAGGACTATTTTACGGTGTCCAAGTTTTCACAGTAGCTCAACACTCTAATCCCCCACAAGATTTCATCGTCAGCTGCATTTTCCGATCCCACATCGATAGATTCTGATAAACGGTTTTCGAGATTTCGAACAATTTAGGCGAAGCTTACGGTGCACTACTGTCGAGAAACACTCGTTCAAAGCTAGACTACGCAACACTCCGCACCGTCACTATGGGGGTGGGGTACTATTACAGTATTTACGGTAGGAATTTTCAGTTCGGGGCAGTTCGTTCCTTATTTAGACCAAGCCAAACTTGAACCTGAACACATTTTGTTTAACACATTTTGAAATGGCAGCCAAGCCAAAACCGCATTTTCTTTGACACATTCGTTTTCAAAATAATGCTCACTCCAAACATGAATCCCCATCCAACATCGGCCCAATGAGCCACAATCGGCCACTGTGCAAGGATTCCTTCAGGGAAGAAAATAAAAGCATGACCAATTACATGAAGGTGCTGAAATTATGGCTTTAACTTTCAACTTTTAAATAATTTCAACTTTAACCTTTGAAACATTCAAACTTAACATAAACTAAACATGAACTAAACATGAACTAGTACAACGTAAAAACTATATTAATATCTACTATATATATGTGGTAGCCGATTATGAATTTCAGCCGAAAAGTTTTCTCTTGAACAAACAGTTTTTTGCTCTAATTTTTTTTCTTTTTATCAAATCTTGCTAATTTTAAAAATTTAACATAATTATCAATGATTTTGCGTTGAATGATACTAAATACTTGATGGCTGGACGCTCGTAGACCCACTCATTCATAAGCGGCTGAAATTCATAATCGGCTACGGGGGTCCCGCCGATTTTGAATGAAACGTTGTAGCGCCGGCAATTTTTAACCTAAGCTCACAAATTTGGTACCAATCGACGCAGAATTTAATTCGCTACAAGATGATATAATATTGTCCTCATACATTAAAGGGTTGCTCTACTAGAAAGATTTGCAAAAAAAATTTCATTCATAATCGGCTACGACATATAAAGCCGAAAAGACGTCTGTCCGTCTGTCCGTCTGTTCGTAGCCATTGGCAAAAAGGGGCGGGGCTTAGATTGCGCTGAGAACGTGGACCTTCCCAGTGGAAAACGCGTTAGTGAGCGTTGGTATAAAAAATAAATGATAAAAATTGAAAGCTCAGCTTACCGGCATGACGAGCATATGAAGCGTTGGGAAAATGATGTTACAAATTGTGAATGATAACATTAAATATCGATATGATCCTGTAACTCTTAAAATAGTGAACAAAGTAGAACCGAAACTTACCCAATTCAGGTCTAGAATGTTTCAGAATCACATAGATTAACAGTGAATTCGTTGCATAAGCACAAAACCCGTTCGCATACATGATAAATTGAATCCAAAACCCCATCACTATAAATTTATAATGTTAATGGGAAATCTCTTAGCTAAAACTTGAAATAGATCTGTGATGTCGAATGTTTTTTTTTTTGCGTAACCAGGAAATGTTTCCAAAATTGGAAAAATTACACGGAAATTGGAGACAATCGGCTGGACAAAGTCGTTCTGAGAAAAATGGGAGGACAATGGAAAGGGGATTTTTGGATTTTTGGATTTTTGGTCAAGATGTGAACTTGAAGAGTTTTCGATTTTCAAAGAAAACACTTTTGACAATATGATGAAAACCCGTCACGTTCTGAGAAAATAAAAAAATGACGTTCACAACGTGAGAAATTTATTCATTTGTTAAAATCAGCTAGTTAGCTAGTGAACTTTGATTTGTTGATAGACAACTCAAGTCAAAGTTAAGATAATCAGAGAAAATCTGGCATCAACTCATTTGTTTATCCATTTATCTCGTTGATCTAGTGTCATATCGAAGCTGGATTCGATTCATTAACTGGATTCGATTCATTAATTGGATTCGATTCATTAACTGGATTCGATTCATTAACTTGTGACTAAACAGTTAAAAAACAGTAATACTGTTTAGACTTGATACCTAAAGAGCCAAGTCTTAGCTTTTCAGATATCAGATCGTCTTACAAGGGAAAGGCTAGCCTTTTTACTCGAGATCAAATCCATCTTATAGCGTCAGCCATGGGGATCTCGAATCCGTTTTTTAGTTTTTGCAAACGCTGGATATTTGGCATAGAAAATTGCCTTGAATTTCGGAAGCTTAAAAAACCTTAAGAAGCCGCCACACGCCCTCTTAACGACTGCTTTGGTGGTCTAGTGGATAGTCTGCTAGACTACCGAACTTATTACATTTTTTAGCCTCAGTTTCGAGCCCCACCCTCGTCAGACTTCTTTGCTTTTTTAAAAAACTATTTCCTTACGTATTTGTATTGAAATATTGATTCGAGTTTTATACACGCTTTCTATATAATATTCTATATTATAATTTTCTATTTCTTTTCTTTCTATATTATAATATTCTATATTCTATATTTCTATATTCAACAAATAATTTACGAAACCTTTGGGAGTGGAACTAGAACTTGGGGCAAAAAGTGCAAGAGGTTTGGCAGTGTAGCAGACTATCCTACTAGACTACCAAAGCGGATGTTAAGAGGGCGTCTGGCGATTTCTTAAGGGGTCCGAAATTTAGATATCTTGCGTACTGCAAAAACTAAAACTGGATTCGAGATCTCCATGGCCGATTCTATAAGATGGATTTGGTCTCAAATCAAAAGTTCAGCTTTACTGGGTAGAAACATCACTGTAGAAATTCTTTTCCCTTGTTAGAAGAGTCAAACAGTCTTCCAACGGGGTCCTAGGACTTGAGAGCCAAGCTAGGTTCAAAGCTGGGTTCTGGCAGAACTGATCCGGATGGATCAAATCAAGGGCTGATCAGGGTAAAGGTACCTAGGTAAAGATCTAAATCTAATCTAAAATCTATTTTTAAACACTACTGTAAAAATTCTTAACAGAAATAGTGTTACGCTCCTTTTTCGTTTCTTAGCTCTCGAAAATTAGAAGCAAAAACGAGAATAGGGCAGAGTTTTTGAAGGATTTAAACTTGAAATAACTCTTGTGCGTTTCATGATAACAATAACAATATTTTACAATAAACGATAAAACTTTTTAAAGAAGGAAAATCCAAAAAGATAGACAATGAGTCATTTGAAAACCTCAGGGGACCGCAACGGGAATAACTTTTGTGTTTTTGAGCTCTGATTTTTGAGTGAAGGATTCTACTCCAAAAAAAATTATTTCATTTGTACAAATTCTGAGTACTCAAATTAAATGATTAAAAACTTTCAAAACCTGGACTTTTGTTTGTCTCCATGACTCAGCGAAACTACGGTGATTGGTCTGTGTAATAAGAATTTGAAAACGGAAAACTCGATCAAATCAAAACAGAAAATAGTAAAACTTGAAGATTGTTAAAAGTTGTGTATTTTTGAAAAAACAATTATTCGGCACTAATTTTCTAGACTTTTTTTGTTAAAGAAAATGTTTTTTAAAGATTTTCTCGGAATTAAATTGGGCGTGGTAATGAAAAAAAAGAAGCTGAATTGCACCTGGGAATTGGTGAGCACAGGTGGAAATAAATATCACCCACTGAATTTGTGTTTTTTTCGTATTCTTGAACTCAAAATTGAGCATTTAGAGAGGAACTTTGGTCAGAAATTTTCAAAATGCTGGTTGCGGAAGTTTACATTACAATTTCGTGATCAGGGAAAGAAGAAAGTTCACAAGATCTCGAGCAAATTGAAATCTTGTGATGAGAGGTGTTTTGAGAACAATGGAAATCAACACAATTGGAAAAGTTTTACAAGTTGCAATTTTTGCTCTTGTTTTGTCTCTTCTCTGATTTTGCAATTCTGGAAATGGATTTGGTAAAAACGAGAGAAGATTACAGTAGTTTTGAAGGGTGATACATTATAGAAAACACTGGGGAGAGGGATATTTGGCATAAAAACGCTTTTGACATGGCTATTTAAGACGTCCACACACTCAGACAAACCATCGCTGCGTGGTCTAGTGGATGAGAGGCTTGTATCACGAACTAGCAACTTTTTCCTCGGGTTCAACTCTTTTTGCAGCTAAATCTTTTGCTTTTTGTTTTTTGGGGATATCCACGCTTAATTTCGTTTTGTTTTCATTTTCTATCGCTTTCTATGTATATTTCATCAATGTAAATAGTTGGGAACATTATTTGAACAAAATTAAAGAATAAACAAAACTTTTAACACAACTAACACTGATGATAATCACGCGTCTTTTGGCACACGGCCTCTGGGGATAAAAGACAAAACCCAAATTCAGTTTCGCCTTTTCTGTCCAATTTGGTTTAATTACCCAAATTTTAGATAGTTTTGTGATGACCGTATTGGCTCGGAGGTTAAAGTTGCTCAAAAAATAATAACAGAATCAAATCCTCCATCGCAGAATGCCTCCGGTTACAAATAAAAATTACAAATAGAAACCAAATAAAAAAACAAACGGTTAAAAACAAAACGCCTACAGCTAACATACATGTAGATAGTTGTCATTCGAAACGGCAGCCAAGCCAACTATGACTTTGTCGTGAATGTGTTAAGCTGTTTGGACAGATCTATTATCCGTAAATAAATGAAAAGATAGGCTGACAATGAAGAAGTATCAAATATGATTGAGATATGTTTGCGTTGGGTAAAGTCGTAAAATCGTAAGATTATTATGAAAAACTATACAAAACTCAAATAGTTTGAAATTGAAAATAAAAAAGCCTAAAAAGAATCTCGTACTCGTATAATTAAAGACTGCTAGAAATCCCGTATTTTTCTCACGTTCATTTTCAAGAAAAGTTTTGAAAGAGTGAAAGAGTTTTGACAGCTTCACATTGCACGTTGTTACATGTCTTAGGTTTCAAATTCTTCAATCCTTTTCATAGCTTTAGATTGTACTTGGTGAGAAAATCCTTGGAAATCTCTTTTATTCAGTTTTTGCTGAAAAAGCACATTGCTTCTACATATGCAACCTAAAAAATAAAATTTTAGAAATTTTGTATGACACAACCAGTAAAAATCCTATGCATAAAAATGAATGCAAAAAATTGAGCAAACAAATGAATACAGGCCAAAATAAAGCTCATAGAGAAAAAAAATGATAGATAAAAGTGATATTTACAAAGAGTCCTATATATTATAATCTTAGATATAAATATTTTAATAGTTTACAATCCTTTGTTGCAATAGACGATCTCTGGTGGTTTGGGCATTGATCGGATTTTGTCGCGGAGCTCGGGCTCAAGGTCTTCCACCTGAAATCGGAACAATTTAGGAGTTTGTTGAAAAGTTTAAAATTATACCATAGTTTAATCTTGGATACCTATTTTAAGCATTAGTTCAGCAAGTTCAGCAAAGTGATTTTATAGTACAGATTGAACGTTGAATCAAAAGTTTAGCTACTGGAAGAAACAACTATGTTGCTACACGGCTCGTTACTACTTCTAGATTACTTTTAGCATATATTTTTTTTGTTATTTGTTTGTTTCTTTAGTAGTTCAAAGTTAAGAATCGGTTCTGAACTTCAAATCTAATCTTTTCTTTGAAATTTGAACGAAGCGAGCGTTTAATTAGAGTATAAACTATCTTCATTGGCGAAAGCTAGCTTTGGAAACATATATTACGTCCGATTTTGAAACCTTTTACCTTCGAAACCTCTTTTTACCTAGACAAGACATTTCATAAAGAATTTTATTAAATTTTTGGACAAAATCTAGCCAAATCAAACACAATTCTAGTTTTGTTCAGCACTTTAGTACCTTAACGGAAGATCTTTATCTTAAAACCATCGAAATTACGCCTTTTAATTTATCAAATTTATCAAAATCAAATTTCAAACAATAATTTATCAAAAACATTACAAAAGAAATGCGTCTTTTTTTCATTCTTAAAGGAACTTGTGCAAAAACTAGGATTTGTTTAGTAATTTAGTGATTCTAATGCAAAAATATTATTCGGTTAAAAAGGTTTAAAAATCGGACGTTCGATTTGAATGACTTGAAAATTGGACGTAACATATACATAATTAAAATATCTGACCTTGATTGGTGTCATTTGCGGGAAGAGGGCACAGCCGACTGGAGTGGAAACGAGAAGAATCGCTCCGGCGAGGAACACTTGGATTGGAGCAGCAAGTCCCGGTTTGGCCTAGAATATTTAGATGAAAACGTGAAAATTTCTTCCATAAAGATGTAAGCTAACATTACCTTCATCCATGGTTTTTTCTCAAGAACATTCATGATCACCGGGATCAAACCAAACGTTGGGGCAGCCATGCCGACTCGGCTGATTACTACCTAAAATTGTTTTGATCTTTTTCTAAGAACTATTAGAAAATTTTAATCTCAACTAAAAATCTAATTGTAAATCTTAAAAACTCACTTGTGTAATCGCCGATTTAGCGACCTTCTTACTCTTTCCAACTTCATTACCCTCAGCATCGACGATGGCAATTCCGTCAGTGAGTTCACTAAAATTTATATAATTGAATTGAATTGAAAACCAAAATTTATATAATTGAATCGAATTGCAATTAAATTGACAATATTTGCTTAATATATACCGTATTTATTCTAATAAAAGCAAGCAAGCAAAGCAAAAGCAAATCTATTTTTCAATCATTCTACAAAATTGCTATTGAAGGCTGCGCTTCTATTTTTCAATGGCTAAACAAATGATTAAGTAGTTCGTAGAAAGAAAACCTTAACCACCAATTAAAAACAATTCAATCGTCAAAAAATCATTATTCTCGATTTCATTACTGTTAGAGTTGTCAACAATAACAAATCGAAATGTCACTATCGTAGTCAATGCAAGAAAATGCAAGAAAATAATAATTAAGCAATAACGACAATAATCTAAGAAAGATTCTTTGCTAAAAGATTGGATACTAAAATATAAAACGTCAAAATGTTTAAAGTTGTGAGAATTTTATGGCATAAACTATTCTAAACTCGACGGAATTTAAATACCTACTCTAAGTTATAAATTCGATCCAAATAAGCAAGAATTGGACGAAAAACATAAAAATTACCACTGTTTATGCAAAACAAATGATAAAGAATGCAATTTTTCTCGATGAAATGCCTTATCTATCTTTAAAGGCTCAAAACTCAGGGGATCCAGTCTACTAAGCTGAATATCCATAATTATTGCTTTTATTGGAAGCAGCGCTTCTATTTTTCAACCATCGCTACAAAATTGCTTCTATTAGCGCTTTTATTAGAATAAATAAGTATTTATGTCATACCAACCTTCTCCTCATCAATGGAATATTGATCGAGTTGGCGACGCAAACGGCCACAAATGGAACTAGTCGGCCGATCAATGGAGGCATTGTCTAGAAGGGTTTATTTGAAAAGACAAACTGGATAGGTATTTTAGCCATCAAAACTTAGTTCTAAAGCTAAAATTCAATTCTCAAAGTTAAGCCACCAAATCTCACCCTGACAAGAGCATTTAACCCGAGAGCCGCCGTCAGCGCACCGCCCGTAGCCGCACAATAGGAGGTGAGCAGCTGAAATTGGCGTCTTCTGTGTTACGTTATAAAATTTAGAATTGTCGAAATATTTTCAATTTTACTGTGCACTAACTTGTGTAGTAGATCCAGATTCTCCAGATCGATTTGTGTAGTTGACGACGGCGTTGAACGACTGATTCAACCATTGCCAGAAGATGACAGCAGCTGGACTTCTGAAAATTGCTGTGAAGTGTTAAAAATTTGCAATCAGCACTGTAAAAGCCTAAAATTCCTGGAAATTAGTTCAGTACATAAGCAGCTGATTTCTAAACGAAAGACATGAACTCACTTGTAGAATGTGAGCATTCCACCGGTAATCGCCATGTTCATTGGAACCTGTGCGCTCATTCTTCCGATGATGAACATTTTATCGCCCGAGGTTGGATGGTAGGCTGAGTCGAAGAGGTGCTTGGCATTCCATAAATCGTTAACTGTCAGTGTATCACTCACAACTCCTTTTCTGAAACATGGAAACTTGATCGATTAGGGAATACATGGGAATACATGTTAAAATACGTTTATTTACACAAATAATGTGGTCAAGGGTTCAATCCCACCGACTAGTTATTGGTATTGGTTATCACAAACAAACAATACACAAGAACAACCCTAAGCCCTAAATGTACGAGAAAAACCAATAACTAGTCGGTGGGATTGACTAGGATTGACTCTCGACTAGGATACAGGGCTTTTAACCAGTCGGGCATGGCGACCAGTCCTCCAAATAAAAATTAATCATGTTTGACATGATTCTACGTAATCCTGGGAATAATAGATCAATTAAGTACCTGAAATTTTCAATGACTGTCTTCGAGGTTTCCAATTGTGAATCGGTAGCAAAAAGGTTCATCGGATTGGTGATTGTGACGAAATGTTTGGCTCGACCCTCGAATGTTGACTAAAATTTGTATTTGAACATGTTAAAAGTTTAAGTGTATCAAACCATTAATAACTTAACAGCTTATTAAAAGTTAGTCACCTGATCCCATCTCGGCTTTGAGATGTCCGGCTTGACGACCAGCGCTCTCACTAGTTCACTCATCTAAAAGACTGTAATATGATTGGAGATTTGCATGTAATTAGAAGTGATTAGTTATTAGACAAATAAGAGTTTACAAAAGGGAAGAATGGGTTTCAAGAAACAGGAACTTTTAATTCTTGAACAAACCCAATTCAATCAGTTAGATCAAAGTATCAAAAGATCAAAAGTTTGATCAGATCAACAAAGATTTTTGATCAAACAATTGGATCAGTTGATGCGATCAAAAAGCTCAATTCAAGTAGTTATTAAAGGTTTTCAAATTTATTTAAATTTTAATAGAAGTGAGAGGATTTATATTAGGTTGAGTACCAAGTCTTGCACCCAAATTCATTTCTAATTGAATAAGTCTCAAGCTATCAAATGAAATACGGTTTTTATTGAATAACCCAATCATTTCTCTTGCAAATGACTTTTTAAAGTTTTTGAAAAGCTTTGTTTTAAAGATTTTTTTATTGGAAAGAAGCCGAATGTTCAAAAAGGACAAGATTTGCATCGTTTCTTTCAATGAAATTCATTTAGATAATGAAATAAAGGGGTAAAGACTTAGTACTCAACATTTAAAAGTAGACAATAGAGAAAAACTAATGGAGAAAATGACGAGAGTTGAAAAAAAGAGCGACCCACGTGAGGGTCTCGCGAGTTTTGAGGTCACACGTAGAGAAATGAGGAGAAGGGGAGTGGGTCGCCCCCTTCACCCCTTTTCTCCTTCAGTCCATCAAATTCTCTAAACATCTCTAAACCTCAATCCCTCAAATTCTCTAATTCTTTTTTCAAGGAATTGTGTTCATTGAGGGATTCGGTTTCTTTTCCCTTTCACTCATCGATTATCAGCAAAAGCCATCGGTTCAAGTGAAACAAAGAGAATTGATTGGAAATTGGATTGGAAATGTGAAAAAATAAGTCAGCTTGCTAGATTTTAATTTAATCTAGTTTAATCATTTTGAATAATTCAAAATGTTTGAAGAAAAACGCGTGAAAATGGGCTGGGGGTCATTCGAGGAGTGATAACAATGCTTTGAAAGAGATTTTCTTTGGCAAAAAAAGGCAAAAAAGAAATAGACGACCTGACAATTGATAAGCAAATCACAGAAAAAAGGTTTCTGGATCTGTTGAATCAACTGTTAAAGCTATTAAAATATCTAAAATCAAAGACTTCTCGGGTCAAAGTTTCAAGATCACTGCAGGAAGATATGAAAAGTTTTAACCCAAACCTAATTCCGCTTTGTTTTCTTATTCCTTTCTTAGCAAGAAGAAAAATGTTCTTCTTTTGTTTTTTGTTTGTTCTGAAATCTTATATATGTCGTAGCCGATAAAGGATTTCAGCCGAAGAAGTCTCAAAATGAAATTTTTTTGAGTTATGTATTGACTCAAGTCAATACCACAAACTCAAGCTCTCTAAAAGGCGCTTAAAAGCTAAAAACGCATTCTAAAGAGTGCGCATTTTATCATACTATAACCAAAGGCTATAAAAGGGCCCTTTTCGTCGATTTCAGCCGAAAAAGTCTGAGACTTCTTCGGCTGAAATCCTTCATCGGCTACGACATACACAAGTTTATTTGAATATATAAACAAAATTTTTGAACAATCTGCCAAGAAATAGTCAAGAAACGAAGGTGGAATTGGGTTCGGATTGGAAATTTCTCATGTCCAGCGAGATTTCGTCAATTTTGAAGTTATTATTAACAGATTATTAACAGATCTACAGATAGAGATTCAAATTTAATAAAAAACAAATCTTTAAGGCTAAAATGAAGATCTAAGTAAGCATACAATTGACTAAAACAATTAGCAACAAGTCAAAAGGTTTCCAACTTATCAACTTTGTCCTTGAGCCAAGTCGATGAAATTTTAGACCTACGTTGTCTCAATTGAGAAATTTTTTAGCTAAAACGTGCCCAAAATTGCTTAAAAGGAAAGAAATTGTGGTTGAAAGAAGAAAAACGGCAAAAAAAGAGCTCAAAAGAACGCAACGCGACACGCGGCACTTAATGGAAGATTGCCAATTTTGACTGAAAAAAAATTAGCTGTGCAATGAGTAAAACGGGTATTGAATGGATGAAGATTTCCTTTGAGATGAGTCATCTCTTTTATTAAGCTATTGATTTATTTTGATGGATGGAAAAGCTTAAGATTTTTTTTTGAAAAGATCAATGTCCTTGACCTTGGAGATAGTCGGTCTTTTCCTCAAAAAAGCCTGTCTATTAAAGACTGTTAAAGTCTTTCGTTTTGACATTTCTCCTTAATTTTTAGTTGCAGTTTCATTTCAAAATATATTCCAGAATATTTTATCTTGGTTTCCATGATTCTTTTGATTTATCTGTGTTTTTAAAACCAATCTAGGTTAACTGACAATAATTTTATTGAAATACATACCGTAAATACTGTAATAGTACCCCACCCCCATAATGACGGTGCGGAGTGTTGCGTAGTCTAGTTTTGAACGAGTTTTTCTCGACACTGGTTTATGCTACAATGCGCGCTTTGGTATCAAAAAATAGCCCTGAATTTCAGCTATTTTTTGATACCAAAGACGCATTTTTTGAAAAAACGGGCGCTTTGAAAAAAATGAAATACTAAAAAACTTTTGCGACTACGCGACTGTACGACGGGGGTGAGGCACTATTACAGTATTTACGGTAATTGGAACAATTCTGGATTTGAACTGTCGATGCTTATAGATATTAGCTGCTTTCATCATTTGCTCGATGATTCTCGCTTCTTCTCAATATTTTGCTTATCTAGTATTTACCGTAAATTATTCTTGTATCGAACAAATCTTGTTCTTATTTTCTAATTGCTTTATTTTAAGACTTTATAAAAAAGAATTCAAACGATTCTTAGACTTTTTGAAAAACAAAATCATTTCTATCAATTTCGTAAAGCAAATATGATCATTTTGCCATTTTCGTAAAGCCAACAGGCATTATCGAAATTTTTCTATGAAAATTCATTGAATTGCCTTGTTAAAGATGAAAAGATCTTGTTAAAGCTTATAGTATTACTAACCATATTGCGTATTAAAAAGAAAAGATTCAGTTTTGCTGCAACTTTCATGTAGAAAATTAGATCAAACTAGCAGAAATTAGATCACCGCCAAAAGAATGCCGAAATTAGTAACTATCTCACTCTAGTTGGTAAAGAAAGATTCTCACCAAAAGCTTAATACTATTTTAGAAAAGACTTTAAGCATTTAAATGTTATATAACAATTAGTGAGTTTAAATAAAATTTGTTAAGTATTTGCCATTTGTTCCTAGTATTTGCTTCGTAATTCTGCCGATTCCTGTAGATTCCATTCTTTAAATTTATTATTTGTGTATGATATTTTAGCATGCTTACCTGCAGATCATGTCACGATTTATAATTCACTTTTTCCTACATTAGGCCAGGATTTTCTCTCATTCTTAACAACGCAAAACATAATTTGAACTGTTTTAACACAAACTTTCGCCAAATCCTTTCAGAATATTGGATTTTAAAGCTCTCTATTCGGACTTGAAAGTCTGATTTTAAGACTAAGAACACGTTGATGATAATTAAAGATAAAAATACTGAAACTTACTAGTTTTGTAACAAAGATTTGCCTGTTCCCTTTTCAATTTCGCAAATTAACACCTTTTTGTCTAAATCCTAAACCCCCTCAGCTTTCACCTCAAATATATGAATGCACCTGTCCATTCTATGCCATTTCTGTCTTTCCCCCTTCATAGAGTCATTTCTCTTCATCGATTTCCTTTTATGAGCACAATATGCATCGATGAAGAAAGCTTTTCTCTATTTCTCTCTTTTCTCTCACATCGAGATTCCTGCCAACCCGGTTGATGGCATTTTGAGGAGAGAATCAGCAATGAAAAAAAGAGAAAGGTGTGCTAATCGATGATTTAATAGAAAAATGCACATTACTGGTTTACTCCGATAAACTTTTAGTTGATTATTGTCCTTGAAAAGGTGCTACGTCATGACTACCAGTTTCATCTTTGATTCATACATTACTTTTCGTTGTGTTTTTTATCTTAAGCTAAGTATTCAGTTAAATTAAGGTCAAAGAAGCATACATATTTACACAAATAATACAAAAAAATACACAAGCACAACCCTTAATTAAGGAACTGTTTCAACTTCGAAACAGGACGTGGCTACAAAATACTCCTGTCGAATTTTAAGAAACATTTTTTTGTTTTTTCCTAGTGGAGGCTAGTTTTCGAGAAAAATGCGTGCAAAGTTTTGGCTAATTTCGGCAAACTGTTACGATAAGGGGACGCCAAACGGGAAGGAACGAAAAGCGGCAGTAGCCTAGGGGATAGTGCGCTAGTCTACGGAACTGTGCCGAAAATTTGCTCGCGGGTTCAATTCCACTCGCAGCTTATGCTTTTTTCTCTGGTTTTGCAAAGAAAACAAAGGAACCTGGGACGGAGCCGAACCAGTGACCCTTGGACTACCAGGTAGGGCTCCTAAACACTCGGCCACTCAGCTATCCGTTCAGTGCGTGTGAGAGTTCCCTTTAAAGAGTCTCATATATCCCCAACAAGGTTTAATTTTAAGCTAAAACTTTGAAGCCTTATATTTCAGTTATTTCTAACATTTAGCAGCTAAAACTTTAGAAAATATCTTATCTTGTGATGTTCTTTCCCCCTCGTAATTTTGGAGTCGATCTGTGGTGGTAAGTAGTTATAGTTCCCTCGTAAGCTTCATATTTCTAGCTGACAAGTTCTGGTGGTCCAAAAATCATAACAGCCTAAACATTCGGTGAACTTACGACCAATAGTTTACGTTTGAGACAATATTTTTTGGCCTTATATATCAAAATCAAACCCTAAAACTCGAGCTTTACGTTTCTTTTAGTATACCATTTAAGCGAGTTGTTTTATTTCATCAAAATTTAGCAATCGTTTTGTATGAGAATTGAAAAATAACCCAATAAGCTTTGCTGTTAATCGGGCGTCAAACGTGGCCACAAATTGACCTCATCTATTGTCCATTTTTTTGATCAAAATATGCAGA